CCTAAGGCCTTGGCACATCATCTTTGTTTGTTTAGACATTCTTGCTCTTCTCCTTCTTTTTAGCATATTCAGTATCATGTAACATTGCTATCGCTTTCCATTTCCTAACAAAGAATGAAAACTAAAGACATTGTCATTGCAAAAATATAAGCAAAATCCCATAACATTTGAGAGTTTTCTGACAAAATAAGAAATATATGTACAGTCTGATATCTGCAGACATTCTTCAAGTGGATCATGACTGACTTAGCGAATATGCCTGGTATAAAGTTACTGCCATAAATTAAGGAGTTTGAGATGTAGATTGCTTATAACCATCTCACATATTAAAAATCAATATTAAAATCTAATATTTAAGTGTGAAAATGAAAAAGACGGAATTCTACTGGGTAAGAGTGGAAATCAGGGATTACCAGATGACAAAAGCATTGCCATTTTGAATTTCATAGGGTCTAACTAAGAGCAGTTAGTTTGATTGTGATTGATTAGCTGTTTTTGAAAATCATAAAAGACAATGTGTTCATTTAGAACGATCTAAGAATTATCCTTCTCTCTGCTGTCCAAGCCATATCCTTTCTCATATCTGCACACTGAGGAGTTGAAATTCATTATCAAAACAGCTGTTGGTGTGGCCAAATCCAAAGCAAAGGAAAATGGAGTGCTTGGAATGTCAATGTCGGTAGCCAGGATTTCAGTGTTTCAAATACCATAGAAGGTCAAGCTCATATTCTGTTCTACTTGCTAGTTTTTACCAGGGATAAGCTATTTGTTTGCTGAGTGTCTCCATTTCTTCATCCGGAAAAGATGAGGAAAGCGAAAACACCTATTTCTTGGCATTATCTCCAGGATTAAATGCATTGGTTCAGTGGAGAAAATGTGGTGACTGTGTTCAGTGCTTGATAGATATGGCGTTTGTACCTGGTCAGGCAGAAACGGAGCAAGCTCCTTCTGTTCACTCCCCTTGAGTGGCCAGAATGCTCACAGGTGCCGTGTTCTTTGGGAAGGTACTTGTCTCTGTTTATTGCAAAGTAAGAAGATAAAAATCATCAAAGAAAGGGCAGACCATATTTCAGGGCTCAAGAGTCTCAGTTAAGAAACCTAAGAGACTGTCTCTGTTTTCTGGCCACTGTACTGAGTTGGTTTCAAGAGGTCACATTGCTCATGCTCTGAGCTGGGTCAATTGGACTTCACCACTGTTCCCTGTCTCTCATTGAAAATCATTTGTTTAAGGAGCTGTGCAAGGTGTCTTACAAATGGAGTTAGACAAGGGCTTTAGCACATTCTATAAATTGAACTCTGTATTCTTGTAAATTATGCTGACAGGCACTCCTAGAGCACAATGAGGTCAATCCAGCCTCACTAAAAACGGTCTTCTGTGCTGTACAGAAGCCAGAAACAGAGAAAGGACCCCAGAGATACCAAATTAATGGGGACAGAAAAAGCTTGTTAAATTCCATCCAAGGCCAGCATTACATTTCAATCAATCTTTTAAAACTATTTATTTTTAGTTTTTAAAATTGTATTTATATGTGTCTGTCAGAAGGACTAGATAACTCTGGAGCTAGAGGTACAAGTATTTGTCAACAGTCTGGCATTGGTGCTAGGAATCAGACACTTTTGTGGAAGAGCAGCAAGGTCTCCTAACAGCTGGGCCGTTTCTCCAGCTACCTAATCAACCATAAAAAAGAATTAATGATTAAAGTTATTAAGATGTAGAGTCACAGGGTTCTAAAGGTAAGCTTACAAAGAACTTACTTTTTTGAAAACATATTGCATTTTGTAAGTATAAGAAGATTATTAAAATTATTAAAACACAGTTTGTGATTTTAATAGTTCGCAGTTTTAGAGGACAGTATGTATGCAAAGAAGTAAATGAGACAAAGCAGACTGTAGGGACCATGAGTCAGAGGCAACGTTTTGTCTAACACTCCCCAGATGAACGGAACTGATCTACTAAAATGTATCTCATTCATTATTCTTATGGAGTGCCTCATACTTAAATGGAGCCCTCGCCACAGGGCATGCTAATATTGATAAGCTCAATTACTGATTAATTTCTACACTACAGAGTATGGGATGAAAACAGACTCCACTTGAGAACCAGAAGGTCTGAATTAAAACACAGACCAATCAATTTTACAATAGGTGGCTTGGACAAGAAATTACTATCTCCCAACTTTATTCCAGAAACCAGTGTCCTTATTTATTTCCCTCTCCTATCTCACTTCACATACAGTAATCAACAGATTGGCTCTCATGCATGTCTTGATAAAATCTCATCTCTTCATCCCAAACCCGAGGCTTCACCCTAGCCGTCATAATTTACCGTGGAATGGGGAACCCAAATAGTCAATTCCCATCACTCACAAGATATGTCACTCCTGAGCAAGACATTTAAGGCTTTGGTGGGCTGGACACTGATTATTATTATCCACAAGCTTAGAGTATCAGCATGTATCTTCTTTAATGTATAAGCTTTAGCCAGCGCAAACTTTGTCTTTTCCTTGAGGTAGTTCTTGATGTAGATGACTCTTGATGTAGTTCTTCTGGGCTTGATGAAGACTTATTCATTATATTAATTATTTGATTTTTAAGAAAGATATTCATTATCTCTCTTAGACAAAGTAGGTGCACTTTAGAGAAGACAGTCCTGATCTTGAATAACAATGTAGAATTTATAATACTTGGTCTGGGTTATCTCACTCAATATGTTTTCTAGATCCATCCATTTGCCTGCAAATTTCAAGATATCATTATTTTCATTTTCTGCTGTGTGGTACTCCATTGTGTAAATGTACCACATTTTCCTTATCCATTCTTCAATCAAGGGGTATTTGAGTTGTTTCCAGGTTTTGTCTATGACAAACAATGCTACTACGAACATAGTTGAGTACATGTCCTTGTGGTATGATTGAGCATCATTTGGTTATGTACCCAAAAGTGGTATTGCTGGGTCTTGAGGAAGGTTGTTTCCTTATTTCTGACAAATTGCCATACTGATATCCAAAGAGGCTGTACCCAGAAAGACAAACATTATATGTACTCACTCATAAGTTGGTTTTAGACATAAAGCAAGAAAAACCAGCCTACAATTCACAATCCCTGAGAACCTAGACAAAATGAGAACCCTAAGAGAGACATACATGGATCTAAACTACATGGGAGGTAGAAAAAGACAAGATCTCCTGAGTAAATTGGGAGCATGGGGACCATCAGAAAGGGTTGAAGGGGAGGAGAGAGGAAGAGAGGGAAGCAGAGGAAAATATATAGCTCAATAAAAATAATGAAAAAAATATTTGGAACTTTAGGTGTCTCACAGGCCTTCCTTCCAACTCCACAACATATATCATAGAAATGTTGATACACACATCATATAGTCACTATATCCTTAGCATACTAAAAAGTAAATAAGTAAGTATAATTGTGTACTGTAACAGAACATATATGACAGCCCTTAACACATCACTACTGTTTGTTCCTGCCGGCCCCTGGCAGGTCATCCCAGGCTGATTGCAAAGGTAACAGTTTGGACATCTTCCCACACCAAATCAAGTTTGTTTCAAGTTATCAGTGGCAACTAATACTCTAACGCCTCTGGTAGATTTCTCGTATGTGAATTATTCAAGGTAATTGCTATAATACTTCTGGAAATGATCCGTTCTCATCGTAATCATTGCACGTTGCCAGGATATTTTTAAATAGAGAGAGGCTTGGACACCAGTAAAGACAACAGTCACAGAAATTGGGAACACAGCGGGGGTGGGGGGTGGGGAGAAGAAATCTATACCGTAATAGTCAGCTTTAAGGAAACCATTGCCTATTATTGTAGAGACAATGAGCAGTTTTAGTTTAAATGTTTTGATCTAGCAATACATAATGGTTTGGAACCAGGGAAATTGTCTTTGAAGCTTCCGTGTTTTATATTGTGTTTTTAAAAACTGCGAAGAACTCTACAGAAAGCCCAGTGATAGCTGTATATCTTCCGTTTGAACAGCCCTGCATAATAAGAAGGGATTAGGTAAAAGTGGGGTGCTCAAGAGGTATCTAGAGGAAGCAATGCTGGGAGGGAGCTCACCTAGAGCGCCTGAGCCCTAGCTAGAGGCAGAATTGAAGGCGTGGGCAGAGAAGCAAACTTGGAAGCCCAGAGCTGGCTCGCTTTGTTTCATCTCCCTTCCAAATGGCCAGGGGTTGCTTCCAGCCTTTGGGTGTATGCACTTCGGGAATTTTCAATCAGTTCTCAGACAGTTGACTTGCTCCAGGCCAGATCAGATACCTTTTTCATCTTCTTTATCATTATTTTCTTAAAGACAAGCAACTTTGTTTTCGCTTCAAAACGCACCCACTACCTTTAATTTCTGGCTTTCTCTCTTTCTCAACTAGTGACGGCAGAGCAGGCGCCCAGGAGAGGATCATCCTGGGTGGTGAGGACCATCCTCTTTGGAACTGCAGTTGTAGCTGCCAAGGAGTAGCCAACAAGCACCAGATTTATGTGCACTTTGAAAGAAGCACCTTTACCATTGGCTTTTTGAGCGGCGCTGTCGCTAGGGAGCAAGCACCGCCTCGGGGAGCAGCCTGGGTACTGGCTCCTGGCAGCCTGGAGCTGGGCGCACACCGTGGCGCGCTTTGGGCGGTTCCGTGCGCTGCCATCCCTGCGGCCGCCGCTGTCCCCAAGCTGAGCTACCGGAGGCGCTGCACAGACACTCGCCTCTGGCCACCGCCACCGGCTCCTGCTGCTGCCGCCCAGAGGACAAACGAGCCTCTGCCCGCGATTTCCCCGCGGCGGCCGCGTTGCGGAAAGCTGAGCCGGTGGGCGCGAGCTGCAGGACGCTATGGAGTTCTTTCCTCGCTTCGGAGTTGCTTGAGTTGGCAGAGCCTCGCTGGGGTTCCCTGCTTTCTGCTTCCTGCTCCCTTCGGGCTCGCCGCTCACCGCTTACTCGGTTGTTGCCCACCGCTGTGCCAGGGAGCCCAGGCTCCAGAGCTCCTGTCCCGGGTCCATTTAGGGGCAAAGGAGGGGCTGTCGCCAGCCAAGGGGCACTGTCTTCTCTCAGCTGACCCATCTATTTCTCCATGGCGTCTCGTCAACAAACCCGAATCCAGGCTTACCTGGAGAAAAACAAGATCGGTCCTCTGTTTGAGGTAAGGAGCCCTGGTGGGCAATGATCCCGCTGTCTTTGGGGGTTGGGGTGCAGAAATAAAATCAGAATCCCCCTAACTGGAGGTGGGGTGCAGAGCAAATGCGCGGGAGAGGGAGCACTGCCTGGTTAGCTGTTCTGGAACGCGGCCCAGAGGGCACTTGGCCAGTTACCTGGACGCAGACAGGTGAGTTCCGGAGGGTCCACCCTTAGCCTAGCAGGACAATTGGAGCCGTCCCACTGTCCTGCATCTACTAGCCACATGGTAGGGCTCACACAGAGTGAGACAGGCAATTCATATGCAGATCATCAGACTAACACACACACACACCTGGAATTCACACTATCTTGCATGTTAAATAATTTTTTATAAATATGGGCAGAATAGGGGCTGAAAGGGGGGAGGAAGTGCCCAGTGGAGAAAGAATACGTTGAACTGGAGGGAAGCTGGCCCGTTGGGAACCTGATACTGATCTGTGCTTGAAACTAGAGCCCTTTGCCTAGCAGCCCCTACCTGTGTTCAAAGGCTGAAACGAGGCGGGAGGGAAGGGTTGGGGGAAAGCATGCCTATTTTCTGAGGAGACTATCTTGAGTTGTTTTTTTCGCCTTTAAATAATTGGTGACAAAAACACAAGGGAGGAAAAAGAGCAGGAGCAAGAGGGAAACTGCGACCTAGGGGCAGAAAGCTGGGTACTCACTGGGGGCACCGCAGGTTGCTCGCTCAGTGCTGGCGGTTGGGGGTGAGGTCAGGTATTCAGGTGGCAAGGCTCATCAGGGACGGAAGCCCCGGGTTCCTTACTCTCACTGTCCACTATCTTAGATGAGCACCCACTAGAGGGGAGCCAGAGAAGGGACCGACTGACCTCCTCCAACACACACACACACACACACACCTGAAAAACAGCTGCAGATCTCTTAGCTCGAAGAGTTGGGGAGAAAGGGGAAAAGGGGGTTATTATTGGTATTGAGGATGGAGGCGCTTCTTGCAGACCAGGGCAGCAGAGAGATGCAGAGAGAGAGACAGAGAGAGAGAGAGAGAGAGAGAGAGAGAGAGAGAGAGAGAGAGAGAGAGAGAGAGAGAGAGAGAGAGAGAGAGAGAGAGAGAGAGAGAGAGACTGAGAGAGAGACTGAGAGAGAGACTGAAAGAGAGAGAAATAATGATGCGAATTAATGGCCCAGTTTGAAAGGACTCATGGTGTGTGTGTGTGTGTGTGTGTGTGTGTGTGTGTGTGTGTGTGTGTGTATTAACTAAGTCTTTTTCCCTGGGGAGAACAGCTTTCAAATATCTAAGCTTTGCGTAATCCTAAAGTTTTCCTGCCTGACCTTAAGTTAATGTGGTAATATCTAGAACTGTTGTAGAATTAAAAACTCCTTTAACAGGACCACAAAGTCTTGCGGCTCTATTAATATTCTGTTGATTTCAAAATGTTGGCAAAGGAAATCTTGCTTCTGCTAAATCGGTACCCTCCAGTCGTGTGAGCCTCTAGAACCCTTTCTTTATGCTTAGTTTTAATGCTTCTAAGTTACACACGGCCTCATATCGGTAAAACACAGAAAGGTAGAAGCAGAATGATGAATAGTATATAAATTGCATCAAAATAACCACACGAATACATTTAGACTGTATTTGTCGACTGACAACCTGGAATCTAAAGCTCCATTAGCCACGGAAAAACAAGTGAATTTCTCTAAGAGACAGCTCTCTCACTTATTTCAACACTCCCATCCTTCTTCCCAAGTCATAATAATGGAATTAACCTTCTGCGTAATTAGGAAAGAAGCTCAGGTTGGTATTTACGAGTTGTCTCCTCCCCTTTAATGCTCAGCACCTAATTCCCCACGGAAGAGTTTTAAGTGACAGAGGAAATTGTTTCACAAAAGCTTTCTCTCTCTTCACCCAAACCCAACAAAATTCTAAGCCTTCTCTTGTACTGCACGTACATTACATAATCCCCATTAGCCTGGATCGAAGTGATGAGTAGCTAATTTTTAAGGATTAATGAGCACTTTCCATCACTGAAGGGAGGAAAAAAAGCACGGTAAGTTCTCTGCTAAGGGCAGGGTGGGGCAGATGCTCGGGCAGCCACGGTGCTAGAGCTTGGCTCTGAGAGCAGATGTTTCTCCTCGAGTTAGAAATCAGCGTAGAAGTCAGATGTGGTGGCCCACAGTGGTCATCCTGGCACGTGTGGGGCTGCAGAGAGATGATCACCATAGTTACCCGGTCAGTCTGAGCTATATAATAAATTCAAAGGTGGAGAGCAATACCTGTCACAAATACAGCAAACCCCCCAAGTGACCAAACCTAACAGCAACAAACAAACACAACACCCAGAGTACAGAAATACCATCTACAAGATGGATGCTGACGATCTCAAATTCCCGAGACTCAGTGATTCTCAGAACTGACTTGGAAGCCTCCCTGGAGACTCCCTGGTATGTGGACCATCAAGAGTAGTACAATAGATTGCTACAATTCTTGGACCACATTTTGAGAAATAATAATGGAAACTTAAAATTTTCTTTGACAAACCACCAATCAAAATAGGCAACTCCCATACTTATGACCTACAATGTTGTCTGGAGGACTGACACAGGATTCCTCAGTTGTCAAAACATGCAGTATCTAGAAGTGTGTCCCATTGTGGGCTTTGTATGTGAGGAATGTTTGGAGAAAACTATATACAGTGAAACACTTTAAAGGGAGATTATCAAGGTTATTTAAAAATATCAAATAGGAAAGATAACCTCCTCCCAAGGGTTAGAATGACTGGATTTTCTGGATTTTTTAAGACTATGTAGTCATGGCTGCCCTGGATAGAACTTCATTTGTAGACCAGGTTGGTCTCTCAGAGGTCCACCTGCCTCCACCTCCCAAATGCTGGAATTAAAAGCATGCCTCACTATTCCAGGACTGAATTTTTTTAAGCTTTGAAATCTATTTATTCAATTTCTGTACTTATTTATCTCTTAATATTGGCTTTATCACTGCTAATTTGTTATGTGTGATGATTAAAAAATGTTGCATTCACCACCTCCAAAATAAATTGAAGCTGACTTTAATTTGAAGTCATATAGGAATATACATTTAAACTGCCTTTAAACATGACCTAAAACAGTTGGAAGCATAGCAAACCATGCTTTAAAAATCATTGCATAAGAGCCCCGAGTGATGATATTTTAAAAGATTATGAGCCCATGCATGATAAAATGACTTGCATTCCTCCAACTCTGAAAGTTATGTAGCATGTAATAGTTTCAGTTTTCCCTCTGGCTTTCTAAAGGCAGGCAAGCAGTGTGTCACCTGGGCATTTGGTTTGCAAAGAGTGTTTCACAGAGCTGTGATACTATGGAACTGTGATTTTGCTCACTTTAAAATTTACATCTAAGTTCTTATTTAACTGGCAAGGTATAAAATGGTTCATGTTCCACAAAAGTGAAGTAGTTTTGCAACACACATAAATGTGTGGTGTAAAAACAGAAGTTGTATCAACCCCCCAGGCCAGCATGTTAATATCTCTTAAAAAATCAGTACTTAAAAACTCTGCACCTGAATTGCTTGACATTTACCTGCTTAGGGAATTAAACTGGCCCCTTTTGACTTTAGTAGAAACCACTTAAATTAGCTCCTGAGAGATTACGTGGTGTGGAGCATCAACATCCCTCATTTTTTACACAAAGAGCTATGCATTTTTAGTTCCCCTTTTTATTAAATATACAGTAATTATTTCCTGGTTGGAAAGATACTCAAGGTAGCCAAGCATATTGGTTCTGTTCTCACCTGAGAGTATGACATCATGAGCTAGTTCAAAGAATAGTAAGGGTACTCATGTGTTTTCACAGAAATTTCAAGTCTATGTGTGCTGACTGTGCAGTCAGCCAAACTCAGTACTTCTTTGAATGTGGTCTAACTTTCTCCAAGAAGACTGGAGTCACTTTCTCTTCATGCTTATAGTTCAGTGTCCCACTACTCATATGGCCTAAATCTGTATGAACTAATTCGCTGCACACAGGGCGAGTTGGACTCACGACCAGATCTTGGGCATCCCCAGACCCATCTTTGTACATTACACTCTAGTATTGCTTGCTCATCTCTGGTACCTACACTTATGGAAGCTCAAACTTCAGTCTGCTTCCATCATTCCCAAGCTCATGACTTTTCTTTGTTAATATCCTTTATAGTCTGAAAAGCATACCCTGCTCTTATTAGGAAGCTATCCTGTCTGTGGAGATGTATGCATGGTTCTTGTGAGAGCCTGCTTGTTTGTTCCCGGTTGCTCATCACTGAAATAATCACACAGGATCCACATTATTTGCAATATGTTTGGCCAATAGTGAAAACATATTTCTAGCTAACTCATATCTTAAATTAACCCATCTCCATTAATCTGTGTATTGCCACAAAGGCTGTGGCTTACCTGGTAAAGTTTTGGCATCTGTCTCTGGTAGGGCTACATGGCTTCTCTCTGACTCCTCCTTCGTTCTCCCAGCATTCAGTTTAGTTTGCCCCACCTAACTCTGTTCTGCCCTGTTCTGCTATAGGCACAAATCAGTTTCTTTGTTAACCAATGGTTTCACAGCATGCATAGGGGAATCCTACATCACATGCTGATGGCTGTGGTTAGCATATGGCTATAAAGGGTACAGAAGGATACAAGTCACCCCTTGCTAAACTCAAGAGGTGAGCTCTATGCCCACATAATTCTGAAAGATTAATGTAAAAATGTAATTTTTAATAAAATGCTTCCAAGGGAGAAGTCATAAAAATATCAGCATGATACTTAGAAAGTCTTCAAGTTAATGATAAGCCAGTATGTGTTTGGAGCAACTCTTGTCAGAGATTTCCTCTCAGTTCTTGAAGTGATAAAGGTTTTTCTTGTTTCTAAATTTATTTTAATCTTTATAATCCTGAAACAGTTAGAGAACCATACATAAGGTAAGATGATCATTTGAATAAAGTTTTCCAAAGCCAAAGTTAATACATTTGTATTGATTTACCTTAAAATA